CTCCATCTGTGTTTTTGATGACGGAGCAGCCCCTCCTGACCATGCTGCTCCGGCTCCTCCTCCTCCTCGCCGCCGGGCTTGAGGCCCACCCGGCGGGGCTCCGGATCCAACAAGGGCTACTAGTGAGCCAGCATGAACTCGTCGTTCGAAGGAAAGACAAGCTATCCTTGTTCACCGCCCACACATCCTCGTCAGGGCACGGCTTCGACTTCGAAAACGTGCGAATACTAGGCCAGTCGGACGACCGAGTATCACGCCTCCTGTATGGCACTCGCACGCGGACTCTATTAATAGGCATATCGATCTCTCAGATGCCTATCTGGCGTTGCGCGAGCAATTGCAGGGCTCAAGGTCACTCGCGGAAAAGCTGACTTAATCACGCAGTGAGCTATGCGTTCTCATCCCTTGACAATGGTCTCGAGTGAGAGTCCGAAACGTCGGGCAAATAAAATACTGGTCCCAGAGAACTTTCTTCCGCCTTCTATTCAATTACCTGGACCTCGAATATTTTCGACCATAGAAATATGTGTATCCTCTTGTTGTGCGAGTTGGCAAGCGAGATTGGGGGTGCACTAAACACACATGTTGATGACAGTAGAGATGTGTGAGACTGATGTCTGCCAGCAGTAACCAAAGTGGTTCAAAAGGTACTCTGCGTTTGACAGTTTATTCATTCGCCACGTCTCACACTATCAAGTGCCAAGCTTAAAGACACGCTCATGAAGATGTTCTGTTGGCAATTAAAGATGTGTTTTATGATGCCACTCCTTGAATATGTAAGTGAGTAAGCAGATCAGGGGGGAGGGGTTCTAGGGGGGAGGGGGAGTTAAGGGTGTGTTATAGGCATACTAACAGTTTTTTTTAGCTAGTACATCTGCCATCAATATGGCAACTAATTACGCAGCTGAGTGGAGGGTGCCAGCTCGTGAACACTAAGTGCTCACTCCGCATTAGCTGACTGATTTCAGCTCAAATATGTATGGAAAACTTCGGACTGAGACTGAAAAGGTTTGTTCCCCGAAGTTTGTGCATTCATCTCCACGGAGAAGACCCTACACCATGGAAACTAGAGTTTATAAAACAGAATACACACGGGGGACGCTGGATGGCCCACTGATGAGGCAAAACCCCCCTGCAAGGTGACGTCATGCAACGGCAGAAGTTTGGCAAGACACTCGTATCTGAGCTTTAAGCTAGTGTTTGATGCAATAGTAGTGGTAAACTCAATGACCAAAGGTCCCGGTTCCAAATCTCGGGGGTTCCAACCCTTGAGATTGGGTATGACTGGCTGATGACGGCTCAAAGGCCAGAAATGGCCATTCCGGTCTCCCTTTGCTTTGTCGGATCCATTCCATCTTATCCTCATAAGAAATAATGCTTAAAAAACTCGTTATATGGGTAAATGCTTTTAAGAATTATCCTATTTTGAAGGTTCTAGTAAGCACGTAGAATATAATCCTTGTTTATGGCCAATCGACTAAAGCCAGTTAAAATCATAGTGTTAATTACCTTTCAAGAAAGACCTGAAGCTCGTCATAATTGAATTCCTGAAATAATCACAAAGAAATATGGCGGAAGGACATTTATCTTACTGTACAAAAAATGGTATGGTTACAATTGCACCTGACAATTTCATTTAAATTTATTAGTCACTGACCGGCATTTCCGCACGCGAGCTTACGAAATGCCTCACTACTGTGACCTCCCAATGGGAAAAATCAAGCGAAAAGGTGATTGCTTTAGTTCAACGTAACTCAAGCAATGTATAAACGGAAGAAACAACTAGCAATTCTCGTGAAAACGTGTTGGAATACATACTCGAAAGTAGGACTGTTCGGTAACAACCACATATTACAAAACGATTATTTTCCAACGTACATCTACTTGTGCTGCTTTATGCATTCGGTTTTTTTGCATGAACAGGCTTCCTATACACTTAAAACTCAAGTTTACCAAGTGCGCCCGATTTTCACTTTTTCGGAATCTTCCCTTTTGCTAAAAAAGCTGGTATTTCTAAACAACGTAATCCTACTTGCTAAATCGCAATATGCCCTATTTTGCCGAAAGACCATTACTGTATTGCTGTAAGACTTGCAGGGCCACAGCTTCGGCTGTGTTTGAGTAACAGGGATTTACTTGTAAAAATTCTTAGATTTCATGAGTTAGACCATCTACTGTATACAAAACTTCGGATTGAGCCTGAAGGGGTTTGTTCCGAGGTCGGTGTGTTAATCTCCTCGGAAAAATACCCTACACAATGCAAACTAAATTGGGAAAACCTGAGTAAACACAGAGGACGCTGGATGACCCACTGATGAACCGAACCACTCGCAGTGGCGTCATGCAACAGCAGAAGTTCGGCACTACACTCGTATCTGAGATTTCAGCTAGTACTTGCATTTGAAGTATGATAAGTAATTACGTATAGACTTACATGAGCCTGACCATCAAGCCAACAAAGATAATCCACCACATCCTTCATGTGTTTTTCATCCGCGGCTATTTTGCGCTGAAGAAAGATGAAATTTGCCATATTCATAGCCCAGCCCACACCTGGCAGTTTTCCCAGCTCCGCTTTGAGCACAATTTTCACATAGTGTGGGAAGCTGCCCAGGCACCAAATGTAAATCCAGTCAAGGCGAGTACGATGGTTGATTAGGGTTATAGAGCTGCCCGTAGTTGTGGGTTCCGAAAAGGGCACAACGAAGGCATCTCCGAATTGGCGGACTCGGACACGCAGCATGCCTGCAAAGACGACCTAGTGGATTCAAGAGGAATAAAAAATTGGAGGAGGAGCGTAGAGTGGAAAATGATTCAAGGCAAGGTAAAATGAGACAGCAACATGCAGTAGAGAGCATAAAAACCCAATTACCAACGCCTAGAGGATTTCCAGTTAACCTTAGTTATGGTACTGTTAAGTGCCTAATCGGGGCTATACGTTTACGTACGTAAGATACGCATTGATTAGTGTCTTAGCTTCTTGAGGACAGCTAACCTT